TATCTGGCATGGGTCAGGTATTCCTCATCAATGTTGGGTATACTATTTTATAAAAATAGTCTAAGTGATGAAGAAGAATTTAAGACTTTAAATATGATTATAAGAGGATCAAAAATTATGACAAATATAACATTAGATCCAGCTTATGATGGGCCATTAGCCATATCAAAAGAAAAAAAAAGATTTGATTGATCTTTTACCATTAATACCGAATATTTATCATACATTTTATAAAAATGTAAAGGATAATCAAAATGAAGATGCTTCTTATGACCCAGACCTCAGTTGAATTAAGTTTTAATTTTATTATATGTTGTAATTTTTTTTTTATAAAAGGTACAATAACAATATTTTTTTAAATAATAAATGAATATACTATAATTATTGGTTATTACTTTATTTGTTTATTACTATATTCTATGTATTAGACATTAGTGTACCTGTTCAGTGACATTTTTATCTGGTAATTTATTTTATTTTAAAAGTCATGGACAAAAAGACATAAGTCAAAATAATTGAAATAAAAAGGGCATAAGTCGTGGAAAAAAAGGCTTAAGTCAAAACTAGTGAAATCAAAAGGGCATAACTACGTAGTTAATATAATATAATATAGTTTATAACTGCAGTTATCTCGGTAAATATTCATAGTATCAAGAATTTTAATGGTTACRTGTATTCGGAATGCAATATATACAATATAAAAATACCTTAAATATGTAAGCAGGGATGTAGTGGAGGGTATGTGTGAGTATGCGGCGCATTTTCAAATTTTTAAAAGAGAGCATACTAAAGAAAAAAACTTGAGACCGGAAGTATGCGCTGAAAAACATGCGTATACCCACTTMACAAAAATTRTTTTAAACTAGCTGACAGAAGTATTATTATATTATGTATTAGATAAATAAATATACTTTATAATAATATTAGGTAATTRCATTGTTAAAGTTATTATAATTTAAAATCAACTTAATAAAATAATAACTAATTATATGTTATTAATTTATATAATTGAAAGGAGGTGGAGGTGGAAGGGTTGATGCAGGCCGTAGCCAGACTAAATTTTCTGATGGGGCAAAGAAAGCTTTAGGGGGGGGGGGCGTTATATATAAAACAATGTCTGTCTAATATTTTTAAGGTGGCAACGCCCTTTCCCACCGTGGCTACGGGCCTGGTTGATGACAAAAGCTGCCACATATGTAGCATACTCACAAATAGCTTTAGGACTAAATGCCTGTATGTAAGGACATAATGAACTAACACGTAGGCATTTTCAAACATTGATACTGCTGTCTCAAAAAGTTGATTCTAATTGACTTAAGCCCTTTCTACCCGGGACCAAAGATGATTGCTAAAGYTTAACAATTTTGTTGTCTGTATTGTGTAGTCTTATATTATAATTTTTTCAATTTTTTTATTTACTTCTTAAAATACATTTGTATGCGGGCGCCCGTGTACCCCTTCTAATTTTTTTTTCATAATTCAATACTTTTTGATTTTTGTGCACAAAATTGTTAAACTTAAATTTTTTTTCATTCTTAAAATACATTTGACTGCAGGCGCCCGTGTACCCCTTCTCATTTTAGTTCATAATATATAAATATAGAATACATAAATTAAGTAGTATAGTTAAAATATATATCATTTAATTTATAATTCGTTAATACGGTTTTGCACCCATAGAAAGATTAGTGTCTTTTTATCAACAATTTAAGTTGTTAATTATATATTTGTAGATATACTTCTATACCGATAATACACATACATATTAGATAGTTTAAATTTAATTAACGACTATTATAATATTATTTTACATTACACCTAGTATAAAAAGTAAGATTAACCTTTTTATTACAATATTAATGTAACTTTATAAATTAAAAGTAATGCGTTACTAATTTTTAATTATTTTATTAAATGTAGGTATATAAAAAATTAAAAAATTAAAATGTTTTAAATATGCAATAAAATATTAAAATGTACGTCACTTATTATTTTTAATCTTTTTCCGCGGTGCTAAATCCTCTTACATTACTAAAAAAAAACCCTTTTAATCGAAAAGTGATCGTGATCAAAATTGCACTTCCAATTTTTTTTTAAATTAACTCTTGATTAAAGATGTTGAGTTCAGTATTGATAATTTTCCAATTCATGTAATGCTGATAAAATAACATTATACAATACATTAATTYAAAACTTCAAATTGAAATTTGTAACACTCGTAAATGAGATATTTTTATGTTAATATAATAGGTAGTACAGCAACAAAATAATAAACTTATATAACTGTATTATAGCCTATAGGTATAGTTATTATACTGTTACCTATAATATAGAATAACTTTTTTTAAATTTAATTAATTACAATTTTACAAGTAATATATACGTTATGTTACTACCCAACATGGCAATACTATAACCAATAAGACATCGATCAAATAATAGAGGGTATTATATTAATTGGTTAAGAAAAAAACAAATATTTAATTTTAAATATTACGTTTTGCTTTTGAGAAACTAAAGTATACAGTTGACGATAGCAAAGACGATAATGAGATAAGTCTTAATTATATTTCATAACTTGTAAGATTGTTCTGCATGAACCTTTATTATTTGTTTTTCATAACATTCTATTTATTCATATTATATAATTATTGGTTTTTCTGTYGTCCGATTTATTTTATATAGTATGATTGTGTGAGACTTATACATTTATACTCTTATGTAACCACCGTATACATTTTTTGATCTTATAAAATTACATAAATTCAATTTTTAGGGAGGAAGTAAGCACAATAARAAAAATCCAGTTATTTGATTACTTTTTAGGCTTTTTTAAATTTTGACTTTTATTATTATAGACTAATTAATATTATTAATCTCATGCCTAGCMCCTATATGAGAAAATTCCAATTTTAATTATTTATTATTTATCAATAGGACTCGGAAGTTGATGATCTTAAAAACATTAAAAAATGACCTAAAAAATGCAAATATGACATAAAACAAAAAACAAAAAATTCTTTAAAATTAGCCTAAAAAATGTACAAATATTTGTTTTAAATTAGTAAAAATAATTTTTTTTTTATATTTTACTATAAATTTATCAAAGCTTACAAATTACTCAAAATTGTTCCATTGTACAGTATTAGAGCATATTTGATGTAATCAAAAGTAAATGAACGACGATTATCTGTAAGTAAAAAGTAAATATTTATATTTAGAAAAAATTATCTTTCTATTTCTCAATTTCTCCCGTATACAAAACATACGGGGTCATTTCCAGTTCATTCTATCTTGGTCTGTGGTAATTTCCAAATTTTAAATTGTTGGCAATTTGGCATAGCGGCCAACAGAAACAATAAGAAGTGAACTAGTATGGAATCAGTAAAAAATGACTAAAAATGTGGAAAAATTACCTAAATGACATGTCAAAAAATTTACTTAAAAATGAACAAAACTAAAAAATGCTACATAAATAAAAATTAGTTTTTCAGATTCACATGCTAATTAAACATATTTGTGGTATGGAGAGTATCGTCTAAAAAAAATTAAGTCTTTGCTGGACCAATGTCGTTGATCATGTATAATTGTAATTATTATATGTTCCTATATAGATATCATTATTAAATAGAGGAAGTGCTCGAATTGTAAGGGAATTAGTTCACTTTCATTTTTTCATAGTTTTCAGCGTTATCCTCTATTTAATCCAGCAAATAATGCTAAAACCGCGTCCCTCTTGATTTCCTAAAGATGTCTACTTTTTAATGGTATATTTTGATTTTGTTTTATTATATTTCAAACAAAGTAATGGTTATTTTTAATATATTATAGCTATTGACTATTGAAACTTATTTTATTTTCATAATTTTTAATAAGAAAAATAAATCAATACTATTTAGTATTTACTTTGGAAATGGATTATCGTCGATGACGATCAATGATGGTACGTAATAAACTAAGGGCCAGTTGTACTGTCTCTGATTAAAGTTAACCGGAGTTTAATCGGCCGAATTTGCACGGTTAAATATCTGTTATCAGCTGATTAAGCGTAATCGAAGTTTAACCGTAGACGGTACAACTGGCCCTAATAAAATTATTTGATTTTGTTTTCATAATTTTATAAGTGTAACGTAATCGCAGAACCAATTTCACTTAGATTCACGACACAATGTCACATAATACGAGGCAAAAGATAAAATAATAATTAATAAGTATCTAAATATTAAAATGTTGTTGTATTCATTATTTAATTTAATAGTCATTAAGGGCTCTAAATTTGTTGCATTTGCATGTTTTCTGTAGAGTATATTGCTAAATATGCTTGAAGYTAGTTTCAGAACGAACACCATGACAAAAATATTAAAAGTTTATAGTACAAATTTGTGCATATTTAGTGATTTGAAGTTATAGAAGCATATTTCTTAATTTTACCTTTTTAATTACTAGCTATACTGAAACTAATGCTTTATTAACATGGCCCATTGGTAGTAATATCAGAAAATACACTGGGTACTACGTAAGAGTCAAGGGGTGATATTGTAGGCCATTAAAAAAAGTAATTTCCTGATATAATATTTCAGTTTGCTGMCACGCTACTGCAGTACGATGGGATGCGCCACGAATGCGCGTGATGTCTAGATAGTAAATCTATGTGGGTATAGTAAAATATTATTATTATTATTATTGTTATTGACACAGGCGAACCACGCCGCCGGCAACGTGACCGGCCGATACACGCCACTATGCAACGTGACTTACTCGAATCCAAATAAATGAAATATTATACATATTGAACGCGTGACAATAACCATATAATAATATTATGTACCCTGCAGGCATAGAATACGCGTATATTATTACTAGATATATGATCTACGGTACAATCAGTCGGTTGCCGCACGCGCTGCTCATTGGTCGTCGCCATCGGATGTGGTGGTGATCATAAATTATACTTTAAATAATAATATTAATACATTAATCCTCTTATTCATGCAAATCGTTCGTGTTTGTTGCGATGATTTTTGTTTATTATTATTAATATTAAACTGCATATGCGTACGAAGTTACGTTTTCCTGGACGTTCTATCGAGTGTCTGCYKATATTTGTTGCACATTATTATTTTCAAATATATTGTAGTGGTGAATAAACGATCGTTTGCGCTATCAGAACTGCTGCGGTATCAATCTAGGCGATAAAGTCTCGGATCGAGTTCGTTCGGTGTAAACTTACACGCCCCAGGGGAAAAAAATCATGCAGTGTCGGATCAGGCGGATAAGTAAGTTTGTTATAAACTGTTCGATTTGAAATATTATATTAAAATGTAAGAAAATGAATTAATGTATTATAGTATTTTTGGCTTATAATAT